CTCAGATTAAAAGTCTGATGCTCTACCGACTGAGCTAACCAGGCCATGTTAATATGAAATACACAATAGAAAGAAAAACAGGAATTCCAATGAAAATTGAAGGAAATTTGGAGTAAAATATGTAACAAAGGTAAAAATTCACACCGCCCGATAAGGGACTCGAACCCTTGACTCTCAAATTAAAAGTCTGATACTCTACCRACTGAGCTAACCAGGCCATTTTGATATGAACTACACGATAGAAAGGAAAACAGGAATTCCAATGAAAATTAGAGTAAAATATGTAACTAAGGTAAAAAGTTACATCTGCCGATAAGGAAAACGAACCCTTGACCCTCAGATTAAAAGTCTGATGCTTTACCGACTGAACTAACCATTCCATGGTAGTTTAAATTGCAAAGAAGAATGGGAAACAGGAAGTGAAATAAAATTGGAATAGATAATCTAACAAAAGCAAAAATTACATCGCCCGACTAGCGACTCGAACCCTTGACCCTCAGATTTGTTTAGTTTATTAATAGAAAATAACGGAGACTCTAACATAGGGCAACGCCCCAATTGCTGTTCAGGCTCTTATAAACTACAAATAGGTAAGAATTGATGATAATAGATTAATAATATTAGTAATAGAATAAATAATATTTAAATAAATAATAATAAGGAAAACGATGGAACACTTGTACGTTAGGCACGTTAGGCAAGGTAGGTTAGGCAAAGATATTAATGATGTATAAGATTATTAACGCGCCAAGGTTCGTACGAATTTGTAATTTTATCCTTGAAATGATGAAAAATGAGATCTTTGAATTTTGGGACAGATTCAGCATGCTTCAGAGAACTAGGGAGTTTATTCTACAATTTAACAGACCTGGAAAGAAAATAACTTGACTTAACTTGGGGTGAGAATAAACGAGGCAGATTAAAAGGCTGATGCTCTACCGACTGAGAAAACATTTGTAACCCGATACCGCCCGATAAGGCTCGAAATGTCATTGGAATAAAACATGGAAAAAAAGTGAAAACTACACCGCCCGATAAGGGACTCGAACACTTGAAGATATACAAAATTAAATTGGCAGATTTAGGTCCTCTCGTTCCCCTCTTCCTCGTTCACATATTACGCTATTCTTCTGTAATTTTTCCAAAATATTCATCATGAATTACTAGAGATAAAATGTTTCTATCGCTCAACGTTTTACCACGTTTCGACATCATTCAGAGTATACTAGAGTATAATGTATGCTGATGCTACTAGTGAAGTGTGATAATGCAAAATATACACAATATACATATAAGAGGTTTATTTTACTATTTAAGCACATCCCACATGGAAAGGAGTGAGTATGCCTTCAAAGCATCGGCGTCAAAATCAAGAATTTTGAGTTTGCTGGTCATAGCAAGGGGTTAATCATCTACGGTCTAGGGGCCGACTAACCTCTCCCTTAGGATTCGTCCGAGCTTCCTGATCAGTCTGTAAATCTTCGGATAGCGGTGTCGGGGCCGAAATCTCCGGCGTAGCCGTAAATGCTTCGCGCTGCCATACGACGGTTCAGCACTCGATGTCTGGAAGTATGGTCCTTTTTAATGAATACAAAAAGTAAAAATCCCGCAATCATGTTTCCTTAGCAGATAAAATTTGAAATAAATTATTTCCTTGAAGATTTCATTGAAAAAGCAGCGCAAGAAGTCTATAGCTATAGCATACTGTTTATGAGTCGGAGGGGTTCAAAGGCGCGATTGCAAGGAGCAATTTTTCTGCAACTTTTCTCTCAACAGTACCGTGATAGATTGATTAATATCTTTGGGAAATGCTTTCTACCTCATGCTCAATATTGACGTTTTTGCTGTAACGGCTTTGTAAAGTTAAAAAAAAGTAGAAGATCTGTGGCCGTAATTATATGACTTCAAATTAATGCTTCGAAGGTATTCTTGAAAGGTATTCTAGCCTGTGCATTGAAGCGAGAACGGCGGTGACCTTGCAATCAGAGCTTGAAAGAGCTTTGAGAACGACGCAGGCGAACGATGTAAAGCCAAAAATGGCGTCCAGTGCATTGTGGTTTAATTTGGATTCTTTAAACGAAATACTCTTGGGAATGACACGTGCTCTGTGATGGGAAAACTTTGCTCCAAGGCCGACAATTCGTAAAATTAAATATATTATTGTCCTGCAATATATTCATACATTGTTTATTGTTGGGAGTACAGTTTATGTTGAATAATGTAAACAGCGAATATCACAGGAATATCAATTACTGACAGTAAAGTAGAATATCCCGTTAGTATCTTTCAATGCAGTTGCTAAGCTTTTCATTTTGAATACAATGCGGATAAATAATTTATTACTCACAGGAGACTTCGCAATAACACAAAACACTGACTCCATAAAAACCAATTAACAGACAAAAATTTATACTTTGAAAATCGCCCAAAAATTAAAATGTCTTGGAAAGATCACAACAACTGGAAGCTATTCATTTCGCGATTGGCGATGTTTTGTGGATATTTTTTTGGCGGAGCAGCTGTATTTATGTTGATCGAGAAAGGAGATACGAATTATTCTCATTTTAACAAGACTGCGCTCATGGAAGAATTAATACGAAACGTCACAAACAAGTACAATATATCGGTTGACCAGTTTGAAGATCTTACCGAAGAAATTCTGAAAATAGCCAGTAAAAAGCCAAACGCACCTTGGAACTACTTTAATTCTCTTTCGTATGTCCTGCATCTTCTAACTACAATAGGTAAGTACGTTTGCCATTGAATAGACTTTAGTGTGATATGTTATAATCTTGCGTAATTTTCTTAATATTTCATGGATAATAACAGTTTACCACAACGTCGATCTCTTGTATGCTAACACTTGCTAAATTTTGCTGATTCTTGAAACGATAACTATAGATTACCGAAGTTCTCTAGTACGCATGTACATAAATTCGCTGTGACAGGATTTCATGAATATCATGGATAATTGCGCTATAAACAAGACTAAAGATGATCTTTATTACTGTAGTAGACAACCAAAAACTTTCCAGCCTCATTCCTTACATTTTTATACGTTTTATTTAAAAAATATATTCATTTTAAAGCCTTTTCATTTCCTGTCTTCGATTTTGACTATTCAATATTTTCCAGCTGTATCGATGTACACGTACATCACCTGCTGACATAAAACAGCTTATCTTTAGCTAATTATTCATAGTTTTTTTCCAGATGAATATCATATTTTTTGGGAACTGAATGATATCCTATTTAACACAAATATTGCGCACCGATAACAGTTCAGAGAGAAAATATCCAATCCAGCTATTTTGAAGTTTATATATCCAGTGTGGGTGATATCTCTAGTGCCTAAAATTTAGTGAAATATTGACCCAGTTTGGGAAAAAATAAATATTCATTTTTGTTTTTAGGGCGATTAATCAAGTTGCTAGGAAAGTACAATCTTAATATGATTCAATCGGTTTCTGTCAAGAATAAAGTGTTTTTAACTATTTTATGTTGATTGGCGAAAAAAATGGTCGGTTAGTCGTTTTTGTTTTTGTTTTTGTTTTTTTTTAATCATTGCTTGGCGGACTGGAAATCCATTATTTGAAGAGGAAAAGTTTCGTGAAATTTGCAAATTTTATTGATTTTTATTTGCTAATTTTTTTCTAAGATCAGCTAGGTGCAGTACCTTCTTGCACGATGTAGATCGACGATACAATGGATTTCCTGAATTTTATGGTATTAGATAAAGTATTCTCGTCTTAGCTGTATCATTTCCTTCCTAGGATATGGTACCATTACACCAAAGACAAAAGAAGGCCAAATAGTCACAATCTTTTATGGCCTCTTTGGAATACCACTGACTCTTCTGACATTAAAGGCAATGGGATCTCATTACAACGAAACCATGATGAAAATCATAACAGCAATAGAAGTCAAGTGTCTCAAGCGAAACCATGTCAAACAGATGGAACTCAAGATAGTTCTTTTCAACTTGTGTATTACATTTATTTATCTGTTTTTATCTGCTTTGAAGTCGGTGTCAACAGACAAGTACACGTACCCCCAATCAGTGTACGTTTGGTTCATCACTATGACAACCGTAGGATTTGGAGACTTCGTTCCTAAAGTTGGTGCAGATGGTACGTCTTTTTATAATATTCTACTTGGTTTGTGTTTTATGTCGGGAACTATTGATGCGATGGTGTCATATCAAGAAAAAAAAGATGGAGTATCTAAGCCAAGTAGATGGAGCTGCCTTTCCTGCTGTAACAGAAAATCCTCCTCGCTGCAAATTCAATCAGCCAGCAACAATACTAGTAATCAAACATCTATTGAACTTAAAGGCGAAGAGTTAGTTCATCCAAACAACAAGCAAACTCAAACCCCTGGGATATTTAATCATTTTGCACAGTATGATGATTAAAAACATCCACAATAGTTTAAATCCCAAAAAAGTCGTACAGTCGCCGTTAAGATGAGATGATACAAACCACACTGCAATATACCAGACTAACCACATCTATCATGCACATATATCAATTCAGTATTTATATATATTATTAGCATTTTTATCATACATTTGTGCTAGCTTTTTTGTGACCAGGTCTGCATGACAAAACTCAAAACTTGTTAGCATTGAGTTCTTGGATATCTGCAATGTGGCGTCGAGCAAAAATATAAACAGACTGCAAGGGAAACCTTGCATTTTGCGAAATAACTAAAAGGAGTCTGTAAATTTTCGCAATTAAACTATAGAATTCACGAGCGGAAACTAAAAGGTGATTACTTCAAATTTGAATGTACTACGTATGATGTTATATTCACGGGTCATACAATAATATAATATACATTTATACATTTATACAAATATCTAATGAAATGCATAATGCAAAATAACCATTTTCAGCGCTTAAAATCAAATGATTTATACTCTGTACGACCTAATGGACAAGAAAAAAATATTTTGACAGTCATTGAATGAAACAAACAATAAATAAAGCCATTTTTTTGTTTTGCATATCATTAAATGTACTGAATAGATAAGATATATGTATAAATATATACTACAACGTTTCTGCAATCGAGTGTTTATATATACATATAATATACGATATAATATACAATATAATATACAAAATATAATATACTGAAGAAATAGAAAAAGCGCGCGCGCATGTGCTGTGTGCAGTTATAAAGCACGCGGGGGTTGGCAGAGCCATAGTTAATGGAGTGGAATGGTTTGGAAACTCCATAGAACAAATCTATTGTTTTGCGTTTGATGTTGAATTGTACCATCACGTGATACTGACCCAACACAATGAACCAAAGCAAGTATGGCTGAAAATACTCACTTCCTTATTATTTTCATGTATGA